TGGGGACAGAGGGAGAGCTGGAGATGTCCTGTCTGCTGGATGTCTGCCACAGACTGACCATGTCCTTAGGCACACCATCAGTGCAGGCCCCCTTGGCAGCCCCACTTGGCACACAGCCCTCAGCCCTGTGACCTCTGTCTGGATGCTGCAGGGCCTCTCCAGGCTCTTCACAGTGATCTTCCCCAGCCCAGAGGAAAGTCTTGGGGATGTAGGCTAGGGTCCTCCCTGGCAGAGGTGTCACCTGGGTGCAGTACACACCACATCCCTAGAGCCACAGCGGTCAGTGAGAGCGAGCACTGTGTGAGCACACCTGGTAGCTTCTTCCACTTGAGCAGCTTCAGGGTATGCCCTACCAACTTTGGTTTCCTTTCCACAAAATGGGTGTTCAAAGGGCATGGCACACAAAGCCCCAAAGCTCGTCTCCATGTTCACTGCTGCTCCATGAGAGGAGAGGTGCTGTGTAGGAGGCCAAGGCCATCTTGTTCGCTAGAACAAGAGAGCAAGCATTCATTACAGGGTCAGGAAGGAGGGAGACCTGAGTATGGCTACCTGATGCTTACATGTACTCCAGACCCAGAGATGGCACTAGGTGTTCTGAAGAGTGGGTAGGATAGCTGTACCTCCACAATAGACATATTTGAAATCAGAGGCACAGAGAGGGCAAGTAATTTGCAGTATGCCACACAGCTATGGACAAGGCTTTGAAAGCCAAAGTGTTGTCCTTTTCTTTTCTAAGGACAGGAGAGAGATTCCACAGATGGGTAAGGGCCCTGAGTCTCTTGACATTTGTCTTTTCTGTACTACGGAACCCATAACATCCAAATCAGGTTTTCTCTGGACTCGCTCCTTGATGTTCTCGGGTGGGGTGAACTTCCTTCTGATTCCCACCAGTCAACCCTGGTTACTGAGGTATATAAAGGGCCCTCTTAATTTATCTCTAGGATTGTCACCATGTTCCCATTCCCTCACCCCCTTTTCGCCTCTCCCTTGAATAAACAGGAGACTATTCTGCCACCCCGTGAGGAGTCGCAGGGTCTACCTGGGAGGTTTAGAGCACAGGGATAAATGGGCCCCAAGAGGCTGAAAGGGAGGTGGAGAGGGAGGGATAGGGAGCCCAGGAACTGCAGGCTGTGCCATAGGAGTCTCAGCCTGGCGAAATCTTCCTTATTATGGCCAAATTCATCTTTGTTTTCCTTCCCAGTGACATCTGGCTTGCCCTGAGCCCTCACAAATTACAAAAAGCAGGAGCTTGAACTTCTGTTTTATTGCCTCAGGAAGTGTGCTGTCACCCAAGGGAAGGGGTGGCCTCTGCCAAGCCACTCTCCACCTGGTCAGGCTGAGCCTGGAGGTAGAAACAGGAACCCAGTGCTTACCCACCATCTCAGGTGCACACCCGGATGCCAGGCTCTGCCTAGCCTTTCCCACTGAGGCTGATGGCCGTTTTTATCAAGAACCATTTTCCATACAAGGAAAGCCCTGGCAACCAGACTCTCACACCCTGCTCTAGTCTGGGAAGCTCAGAAACAGAATTGGGTCTGTTTCCCCATTGGGGAAAGTTGGGTGACAGGCCCACCAGAAAAGGAATCTGTTCACTCACTCAGCCTGGGGAGACTGAACTATGAACTACAAGGGTATGAATACAGCAAGTGACCACTTTATTGGGATTGGGATAGCAGCAGAGGCCCATACCCTTCATCTGGTCTGGAGGCTGGATATCCTTGTAAAAAGGAGCTCCTGGCCTGGGGTCTATTCCCCACAGAGCCCTACACCTCTCTAGTCCCCCACACTCCCTCTCCTCTGAGGGGTACAACTGGTCAACCTAGATATACAGAATCTGCATGGCTGTTAGCCAACTTATTCATTGGGTCAGAACTCAGGGGAATCCCAAGAGTCTACCAGCCTCTGGGTTTGTAAAGCAGGACAGTGACACTGGCTGCTACTTTGGGGTCACTGTGAAGACCCAACGAAATGAGGCAGGTCAGTGCTGAATCTGGCAAACCTGAGGTCCTAAAGGTGAGGTGGACTGCCCCCTGGGTTATTTTTGTCCTCTACTTCTACATGGCATGGAGCAGACTTTTATCCACAATGGCAAATATTCTCCAGGGCCAGCTATGTACAGGCAGAGTAGCCTGAGCACAGCCCCACTGTTGACCACCCTCAGGGGACCTGGGGGATGACATTGTCCAGTGGTTTCTAGATGGTTTTGAGTGACACCATCCCCTGCCCACCTCCCGTTCTGTGAGGTCTGAACCAGGGATGGGGTTGCCCAGCTTCAAGAAGGCCAATAATGTTAGTGATGGGGCTGAGCAGGGACTGTTAAGACAGCTCTACCCCACTTGCCCAAGGAAGCCCAGCAGAGGGCTCCCCACCCATAGCATCAATCCTCCTCGAGTGCAGCCCCTGGGATATACTCAGAGCTCTAAGGATGCTGAAGACCTGGCATAAGGATCCCAGAATGCAGGCAGGGGAGGGAGACTACAAAGCTGGGAGGGGCCAGGTAGTCATCAAACTCACCCACCCAGGCTCTCTCACAGGGCACTCATCTAGATAAGAAAATGGGTGAAGTTCTAAAGATCATAGTCACTGCTAAAGAAGATGCTGTGACCCCTGCTGTGCAGCAAGCAGACCCAGAGTCTGTAGGGCAAGTTGGGCAGGGAACAAAGGCCAGGCAAGGAAGCTCCATGGAGGCAGTGCCCTCACCTCAGGCACAGCCAGCCCAGCAGTGTGTGCGCTACTTGTCCTGTGCTGGATTCTGTGCACACTTGAGTGTGCATGCACATTTGTGCAGACATGAACGAGCTAGGTGGGTTCACTTCCCTCTTGGTGGTGGAGGAAATCCAGATCCATTTAATTTACCATCATCCCACTGCCCTGGCATGTGGGAGGTAGGATGAATCAGAAACCCCCAAACTCATCCTGCTTACCGTGCAGCAGGGGAGGGAAGACCATTTCAGAAGGTGGTAAGAAATGCCTCTCTTGACGTACCCTCCTGCCTACCTCAGGGGAGGCTGCAGGCTCAGCCTGGCCCTCTGGGCAACCCCACTGGCTGAGCTCTTGTGGCCTAGTGATCCAGCCTGACAGCATTTGCATTTTCCAGATCCTTGTGTAGGAAGGAAAATGAGTTTCTTCCAGTCATGCAGAAATGAAAATATATGGAGTCCAATCAGAGAGATTTCCTGGAGGTGGTAACTCAATTACATGGATAATCCAGTGACAGAAGAAGAGCTTGACAGGGACCTCAAGGGCTGGTGGGTGGCCCACAGCAGCCCCAGAGCATCCTGCAGGGAGCTGTCCAGGGGTGTCTTCCATATGCCAGCCTGAGCTTGGCACACAGCAACAACATGGTGGTGTGCCAGGTACACATGGCCCTCCCTCTCTCCCCAATCATCAAGATCACAGCACCTCCCATGAGGGTGGATTCCGCCAGAAAATCAGTCCTAACGTGATATTCTCCCTCCCTGCGTCTGTCTAGCTCCCGGGCAGCACCGAGCATCACATCTGTTCCTTCTGCTAGCAGGTTTCCATCTCTCTCTGCTTTTCCCTCTCAATGCACAAGAGTGGCTGTGGCCCTGCAAAACATAGTCCCAAATAGCATCATTTTTATCAGCTTGGTGCTCTCAACAGCGGGCTCCCAGTGCCAACTGGGGACAACCACATTTTCCGGCTTCTACCCTTCAGTGGATGGAGGTGGGGAGACTGCATGACCCCAGTGTACCTCTATCAGCAGTCTTCCATGCACAAGGCCAGAGTCATTCACAGGGCTTTCCTACCTCTTCCCAGGCCAGGAGCCAAGTGCATTCTGGCCAGGTATTGCTGAACTCTCTGGTGCCAGCCCCTGGGATTTGGGAGAGATGAGAGAATCCCAGCCTTGAGAAGTTTCTGAAACCTTCCAGCAACTTGCAAGGGCAATGCCAGGGCACAGTGACCGCTCCCTTTGTCTTCAGCCAGCCCCATCCTCTCAGCGGCTGCCTGGGAACCTCCTGTTTCTGATCGCTGGGAGGAAGCACACACCCAGCCAGACATAATGAAGCCACATCCTGGCCTCAGGGTAGGAGGGACGGGTGTGACAGTTACTGGGATCAACCCCACAAACAGGAGCACGAGATTTTCTGTTATTTAGAGGAACTACGCTCTGAAAGTCAGCTTCAGCTCACATGATCAGATAGTTCTATTCACGGGGTAGGGGTCCCCACACTCTAAGTCCATTCAGCACTGTGGTCAAGAAGCCCAAACACTCTAAGTTCAGGGCTATGCATTCAGAGTTGGCAGCTCTAAGCCAGGAGCTGCCAGCCTGGCTGCCTTCTGCTCCACCTTAGTCAGCCCGACTCCGGCTGAATCTCCAGCCATCTGTCCCTCCACGGTGCTCACACCTCCTCCCCGCTGTTCCCACAGCCTGGCTCTGGGCCTGCCCTACACACAGATGGACCGTTCCCAAAGGCTGTGAGAAGGATCAGAGCCGGAGGCTGTGTCTGCACCTGGCTGTCAGGACCCCAGGGAGGGCCGTCATGATTCCCTCCCCACCACCAGGAAGGATGCTCAGCCCCAAGGCCTTAATGGCTGATACAGGGACCAAAATAAGAGGGGGGAAGGGCTAGAGGAGGCAGAAGACCTTCTCCTGCCAGCTCCATTTCCCCGGGGGTAGACCTCTGTTTCTCCAGTCAGTCCCGAGCACTGTCATTCAGGCTACCAGCCTTTGTCAGGAAACCCGGCACCCCAGGGGGCGCCTGCGGGAGATGGTGGGGCACCCGCACTCCTCCACCGACTCAGCTCCTACCTAAAGGTTAACCACACATACCCTGGGCAGGTCACGCCGTCTGCCCACCTAGGGTGGGTGCACTCAGTCAAATGAGTGGATAGAGTTGGCTCCACCCTGCTGTGGGCACGAACTTTCTAAAGTGGCCGGGCTAGGGCGGAGGGTGCAGTGCGGACCCCCGGGAGGGCAGCTACCGGTAGAGTAGGGTGACAGCGTTGGCGTTGAGCCGGGCAGAGGCAGCACTTACGGTCTGGAGCTCCAGCGGACCGTCGCTCTCTCGCAACCCGGTTCCCGAAGTGGCTTTTCCTTCTCACTCGGTCGCCACCTCCATAACTTGGGGGCGATCCGCACGCTGTCTTCTCGCGCCGCGAGGGGCTCAGGCGCGCGGCGGGGTCTGGGCGCGCGGGGCGGCCGCCTGGGCCATGCCTAGTGCGCTCGGCCCCCAGCGCGGGAACAAAGCGCGCACGCCGCCCGGGCGGTTTCGGCCTCGGCGGCCGCCGGGTCCACCCGCCGTGCCTTTGGCTCTGCTGCCGCGCGCTCGCCCGCGCGTCTCACGGAGCCCCGCGGCCCCCGCCCCGCGCGCTCCGCCCCCGCCTCCCGCGCCCCGCCGCCGCTGCGCCACCTGCCTCCAGCCCGGCGCCCATCGCGCTCGCTCCGCCCCGGGGCGCCGACCACTAGAGAGAGGCCCGGTTCCGTGCGCCCGGCGCCGCCCAACGCCCAGAACGACTCCCGCCTCTACCGCCCGGGTGGCTGCCCGGCCCCGGGACGCGCCCGGCGGACTTGGCTCTGGGGCCCGACTCAGGACTCTGGGACCTCAAGAGCACCGGGCTACGCGTGGGACCCTGTGTGGGTGCAGGAGCGCGGGGCTGAGTGAGAACCGGCCAACGAGCCCCCGCGCTTAGCCAGTGTGCGGAGTGCGTGCGGCTCGGGGCAACCCGGTGCGGGGCGGACTCCTCGCTGTGCGCCCCCGCCCCGCGCAGGCCGCGCCCCGGGAGGGCGGGCGAGCTGAGCGCACCGCGCACACCCACCTCGGAGCAGTCGCAGCCCGACGGCGTTGCTGCTCCCGGAGCCTCGGCGTTTACTCCCGGATGGGAGGCGGGCGCCCCTCCTTCGGCCGCCTCGCCCCCCGCAATCCCTCCCGGGACCCGGGCCACCTGCACGTTCGGCCGGCAGGGGGCGCGCTACACCCGCCGCGAACGGCCTTGGTCCCCAAGGCGCCTGGCGACCTGAGGCAAGAGGGGCTCAGGATCTGGCTCTCCCCCACCGCCCTCGAGCCTGGTGTTCGCATATGCTTTGCATTCGTTTGCATATCATTCATTTTAATGTCAACCTGAGGAAAAGCCCCCAGCCGCTATTTCTGCCTGTTCGCGTCCTACTTTCTCCTCTTCCTCTGAGCCTTCTCCCCCACCCCGCTTTGCCCACTTTGCCTGGAAGCGCCCTACGACAAGTCTCATGCATTCCCCTGGTTAGTACATTCGAGCAAACTCGCTGCACTTTCGTTTCTTCCCTTCTCACAGTTCCACATACACTTGGCTTCTTTGAGACTAGAGGGAGACCTAGGGTCACGGTCTGCGGAGACAGCAGAGGACAGAACTTCAGATCAGTGGGGCTTTGATTTTCATCTCATTAAGCATAATCTGCATGTGAAGAAAAGAAATCTAGCAATATGAAAAAAAAAACAACAAAAAACCTCACACAAAACAAAACAAAAAAACCCTCCTTCTATGCTTACCATACTGGCCTATTTCCCCAGTTTTGGGGTTCCTCTTAGGAACCCACTTCTGCATTCTTGAAACACAAAACAGTGTTCCTGCCCCATCCTCCTGACCTCCTTGGTTTTCTGGATCTCCCTCCCTCTGCGGAGAATGGCTATCTAATCCTAGTCGGGCACTTATAATGTCCACATTTTCAGATCTCTCTTTATGGTTGTACCTGGCCACATGGCTATATCCATCTTGTAGAAGCATGGAGGGTCCTGAGTCTACTTTACAGGGGAATGTGGACCTAGCAGGGTTGGATATATGATTTGAGACCACAGACTTTATACACCAGGCATATGGACAGCAGCTGTGTGGGCTGCTAGCATGTGCACTAAGAAAGCCATGTGCACTAAGAAAGCAAAGCACAGTTCCCATCGGAGATACAATCAGGCTGTGTTGCCTGGGTGGAAGGACTTGACGGCAGAGTTCTTAAGCCAGTCTCTGGGCACTCAACCTGATGCAGGAGCTGGACCCTCAGGTTGGGCTGCACGCTTTCCTGCCTGGTGCTGGTGGCACATTTGTTTTGTGGTAAGTGGCCATGGGACTTAAAGATGCTCACAAGTCTTCTGCAGCTACAGATTGCAGTGTGACAGTGAACCTCCCCACTCAGAAAGCTCTTCTGAGAAAGCCATGAGTGCTGGATGGGAAAGGGATGATGGAGGCCCCGAGGGTTCTTTTGTGTGCAGTGGGCAGGCTCCACTGCACACAGTCTCTATAGGTTCTGACAGTACATTTTCCACTAGCTGGAAAGATGTTTCCAGGACCCATTGGTTTGGGAGAGAAGCTAAGTCTCTTGCTCTCTTGGCTTCCCTGCTACTTCACTAAGGACCAGTTCCTTGTGGAAATGACCAGGTCACAGTTCTTAGCCATGTTACCTTAAGGAAGCTCTCTACCACGCAAAAGGTATGTACACATACCGACTCAGAACAACAAATAGTCACCAAGCATCAAGGGTCTAACGGACATGCTAGAGACAGTGGGGTCAGGAAAGCAGGTGCTGCCTGAACCTTTTATTGTGTTTATTGTCAATAGAGACAAGGCTCGATTCAACTCAAAGAAGCCGCATGTTCCCTAGCTTGTGGCATCGTGGCTTTCCCCAGTAAAGTCTGCTCTCCACCTTTACCTGGTTCCTACCTCCCATGGAGGCTTTGAGGGGGCTGTGTCTGGCCAAGGGCACAGAACAGGGCTACTACCACAATCACTTGCTTTGACTTGCAGCTGGAGGATCTCTTTGGAATGCATATCCTTTTCTCAGAGGAAAACAATATCAGGGGCCAACACTTCCAGCAGCACTTGGGTTCATTCTGCCATCCTGACCCCCCCCAAAAGGGTAGCACCTCCTTTCCTCATAGCTCCTGGCTCAGAATTGACGTGAAAATATTTGCTGAGGGACTTTTGACTCACATTCTCTCAATTAGGACTAAACTCTTTTCTGATACCCTATAAAGCCTACAGTGGAGCCATGCCAAGAGTCAGGCACCTGCCCCTCCTACCTTGCTCTTGGAAGTCCTGAGAGGTGATCTTTCTGCCAGTGTGCCTGCCTGAGAAGAATGCCGGGGACCTGGATATCACAAGCTAGTGTTTGGCAGAGCTGAGTGTCCCACTAGGCCAGCCCAGCTCGAGTCCCAGCTGTCATCTGCTGTTGACCTTCAATAATAATTCTGAATAGCTTTAGACTCTCTAAAACATGTCTCTGAGATATCTAAACTTCAACAGGAGTTTAGATATCTGCCAAAAAATAAATAAATAAAAGTTGACAAAATACTGACAATTTAAAATAAAAGAATATCTAGGCCAGGCATGTTGGCACACATTTTTAATCTGCGCACTCAAGAAGCAGAGGCAGGCAGAGCTCTGTAAGTTAGTTAGTTTTAGTCTGGCCAGGGATATAAGTGAGACTGTCCAATAAAATAAAATAAGACAAAACAGTATCTAATGGGTCATAGACAATTATAGTGATTGATAGGTGCTGTTACTTCAAAATAAAGTCCTTAGAAAACTTACTCTGGTCCAAACAACGAGGTTTTATACATGACCAGATATATGATCTATGGGAGAAAAGTCATAAGAATTCAAATTTTGAAGCTTAAAACTTCCACTGTGTTAAAGATATTGTTAAAAGAATAAGACATGTCACAATCTAGATAACATGTGTAAAACACAGATCTGGAAAAGGGCTGTCACTCAAAATTAGCCAAGAGTCCATAAGATTAAATGATAAGAAAACAAACAGCCCAATTAATGTGGGTCAGATGCCTGAACAGACATCTCTCAAGGAAGATAAAGGCAAAGTATCTGAGTACCTGAAAAGACCCACACTTCCTGTGCAGTCAAGGTATGTAAACACAGCAGCAAGAGATTGGGTCCTTCCCTGAGGGATGCAGAGGAGAACTTTGGAAGCATGTTTGGCACTATTCACAAATTAGGTACTCCTGCCATCCAGTCCACCTGCCAGCCTCTTGGTGTTCTCTAAGTAAGTTAAACAAAACAAAAAAACTTCAGAAAACTGGGTGAAAGAGATGGTTTAATGGATGGGAGTGCTTACTGCCAAACCTGTCAACCAGAGTTCAATCCCCAGGACCCACATGGTGGAAGGAGAGAACTAATTCTCATAAGCTGTCCTCTGAATTTCATCTGCAAGCTCTTGCCTTCTGATCACAGGCACACACACACACACACACACACACACACACACACACACACACACACTGCAACTTAAAACATATGCAAACAAAACCTTCCAGGCTGGAGACGGAGTTCAGTTGATAGAGTACTTGCCCACTAGGCACAAAGACCTGGTTAGAACTCCAGAACCTTATAAACTGGGTATGGTGGTGCGTGCCCGGAATCTCAGCACTCAGAAAATGATGGCCGGGGGATCAAAAGTTCAGAACAAAACAATCCTACCACCACCACCAAAAGCAAGCAAAAGCTGTCCAAAAGAAGCCTGCCAGTAAGTGCTTATAGCAAATTTTATTTGTAATTGCTCAAAGTTAGAAGCAGTGGATCAGTCACTGACTAGACTCCACTGCCTAGGACACATCAGATGCTGAATGTTATTCATTCCCAAGAAGATGAAACCCCAAGGAAACTCAAGTGTACCTTGCTGAGTGAAGAAGCCCATTGGAGAGGGCAGTTCTGTGTGACCCAACTCTAGCATAGCATCCTCCAGATGTAAAGAAGAAAAGGGCAGTGGAAAGATTCGAGGGACTGGCTTCTGACTTTTCTGCTCAGTTTGACCCCTTTGTCCTCTCCAACCCTGGGTCTGGTTTGAGAGCAGGTGTGGGTAAAGCAGGGAGGCTACTCTGGATGACACATTGATGGTGGACACTATCATTAGACATTTATCTAAATACAGAATACCCAACTCATAGAGGACCTCATTGTAAATGTGGGTTCTGGTCATAATAGCATGTCTGTGTCCCCTCCTCAGTTTTATAAGTGTCTGACACCAGTGCCACTGCTGATGTTGTGGGGTACAGAGGTCAGCTCTGCTCTTTGATTAGTCTCCCTGAAAATCCAAATCTTCTCTAAAAAGCTTGATCTGCTTATTTTAAAAAGCCTGGGAGACAAAAAATATAGACATCAATGACATTTTAAGCATCTCATGTAAATAGTAAAGGTTATGCTCAATTGAAAAGGCATAGGGGAATGGGCTCTGGTCTAGCACCTGGATTCTTATACAGCTCCTCTTTCCCTCAATGCACATTGATATTCTATTCAACAGGCTTAGCCAGATGCAATAGCCAGTGCTTATAATCACAGCATTTTGGAGCCACAACAGAAAGATAGTGAGTTCCAGGTCAGCCTAGGCTATAGAGAGACTCTGTTGAGGAGGAAGAGAGTGGGGAGGAGGAGGAGAGAAGAGGAAGAAAGAGAATGAGGAGGAGGGTTGAAATGAAGGAGTTCTGTGGTCAGGTATTCCAGGTATCACAGTGTGTACAAATCCAGGTAGCTGAAATTCCAGCTGTAGGTTGGACCAAAAACAGCCTCTGGCCAAGTTACCTCAAGGAGTG